AAGAGGTTAGTTGTTATTTTAATGTAATGTAATTACATATTTGTTTTATATGTTTATGAATTTTGTAAGAAATATTTGTTGGTTTTGATGAGTATAGTTTAGAAAAGATTTATTGTTGATTTAATAGTTGTCTTAAATGATTATACATTGTTCTTGGATGATGGGATTCGTTGTATGTTGAGAATTTTTGCGAAAATTGGATAATTTGTATTGTATAGTTTGATTTTGAGAATTAGGGTTTTGGAGAGTTATTTTATAAAAAAATTGGTGATTTTTTTTTGTTATTGTAGTATTAATTGAAAATATTTATCTTGATTTGAGTAAAAGAATAACTGATTTTTTTGGGAAATTATGTGTTGTTGTAATTGGGAAGAATTGAAAGTGTATTATATGTTATTGATGGATTATGAGTATTAGGGTTTGTGAGGTTTGATAAAAGAATTTGTGATTTTATTTTTAATGTTGTAGTATTAATTGAAATTTTAATTTTAGTAAAAAAAAAAATTGAATTTTAATTTTTGTTGTGGGAATGATAAAAAAATAATTGAATTTTTTGGGTGTTAGGTTAGAAAGTATGTGTTGTTGTAATTGGGAAGAATTGAAAGTGTTTTTTGCAACAGGTATAAATGGCGTCTACCGGACCATACTTTGTTGATGTGTATTGGAATCATCCCAAGGAGTTGTTATATGCTTTTTCATCTTTTAAAAACTCTCCGGATGGTTCATTTAGCATTGGGGAGAATATATCATTTGAACAATTGGTAGATATACTTTATGAAAATTTTGGGTTTCGTCGAAATGGTTGGATAATTGAGGAGATTAGTTTACTGACTAACCAACCCGATGGTTCGTGGAATATTGGAAACCTGAATACTGATAGTGTTGTGCAGTGGATATATTATTTTCCTCCTTTCTCCTATGTGTATTTGCATTTAGAGTTGAAGCAGGTTACGCAAGCACCTGCAGAGGTTACACAGTTTGAGGATGTTGCCCCTTTTTACGGGGGAGTGGCTGATGTTGAGGGTACGTCCACTTCGCATGTTCGTAATTTTGGCGAAGGGACACGCTCAACAATTAGAGAATGCGATAATGAGGAAGAAAGTGATGATGATTTCATTCCTGGTGAAGCCGATTTCACAGATGATATCTCGAAAACGGAATCGGATAGATCAATAAACGAGAAGAGTGAACCAGAATTTATTGAAGAACACCCATTTCCTAGTAGCGGTCAGCACGTGTATCGCGAGATGGGTGAGTGGGACCCGTCGTGTGTAGACCAGGATGAGCATGCTCTGCTACGTTGGAATGGAAATGTTGAGATTATCCGTTTGGGTACTGTTTTCCGATCCAAGGAAGAAGCACAGATGGGTATCATGAATTGGAACGTTAGTAGGTTGAGTGAGGTTAAGACAACATATTCGAATAAGAAATCATTCAAGATGGTGTGCAAATCTAACGAAAATCAACCTTGTCCGTGGAGGGCTCGGGTGACGCACTGCACACGGGTTCATGAACTGTGAGAAGTAACGGAATGGACTGAGAGGCACAGTTGTATGCAAGAAGTCGAAAAAAACGACCACATAAATGTAACCGCCACAATAATTTCAAATCTTGTCATGACCAAGATTCAAAAGAAACTCGAGTACAATGTTAGCCTGATCCAGGCAGATGTCAAAAATTGTTGGAAAGTCGATGTGAGCTATAAGAAGGCATGGCACGGGAGGAAAAAAGCCATCGATCGTTTGTATGGCACTTGAGAATCGAACTTCGCACAACTCTCTCAGTAAGTAAAAATTTATTACAAATGTACGTGTTATTTGTCACTATGTTTATGTATTGACGATTACGTTTTGTAACGTGCAGGTTTTTTGCGGGCTTCAAAGAGCGAATCCCACTACAGTTGTACAGTGGGAATGGCATAGTGGGGAAATGGCGGCCCACTATCAGCACAGAGAATTCAAATATGTTTTCTGGGCGTTTGGTCCCGCTATTCAGACCTTCCAGAGATACCCGCCGTAATTAGCATGGACGGCACACATTTGCGTGGCTCGTACAAGGGGAAGTTGCTTGTGGCCGTTACACAGACTGCGAATAAGCGGCTATTGCCAATCGCCTATGCGATTGTGGATGAAGAGAGCAGGGAAAGTTGGTCATTTTTCTTGACAAATCTCCAGCAACATGTTGTCAGCGATAGACAGATATGCTTTCTTTCGGACAGGGATACGGGCTTACAGAGTGTCGTGGAATCATTGGAAGCTTGGCGAAAACCCGCTGCATATCACCGGATTTGTCTTCGACACCTTCGGAGCAACGTGGTTACTAGGTTCAGGAATAACAAAATCCGAAATTGGTGTTGGGAGTTGGGTTCACAGGTTTCAGAGCAAAAATTTCAACAGATACGAGAGCGGCTTTCGGATTTTAATCCGGAAGCATACGATTACCTGTTCGGAATTCCTCTGATCAAGTGGACCCTGTTTGGAGACGGAGGACGTAGATGGGGTACATTGACAACCAATATGTTCGAGAGTTACAACAACGTCCTGAAAGGTGTTAGGTTCTTGCCCTGCCGAGCTTTGGTACACACCACATTCATGAAAACTCTGGACTTGTTTGAGCAGGAACAAAAGAAGTCCACGAGATGCAGTAATGTCATTGCTAGTGCCCGCTATGCCGCTTATTGTGAATTGGAGACTACGGCCACAACTCATAAGGTGCAATGTGCGAACTCGGAGAGATCCCTGTACAAGGTGACAACCGGTCTACGGGCTCATGGTAGAGGGGACAAAAGGTATATGCTTTATTTATGTATTGTATAATTTTTATTTTTTTATTTTGGTTCATTAAAATTTTTAGTTGTTTATAAATATAATTCAATGTGGAAAAACAGGTATAAGGTTTCGTATGACCGAATGCGTTGTAGTTGTCTAAAGTGGCAGACACATAAGAAACCATGCTCTCATGCTATAGCTGTGTGTCGTCAACTTGGGGCTCCACCAAAGTTCTTGTACGATCCCCACTTTTGGACGGAAAACTTGGTAACTCAGTTTTCTAATTGGAGTTTTGCTCTGATTGGTGATCCAGACACATGGCCGCCGGTCGGATGGAACTTACTACCACATTAGGAGAGAATCATCACGAAGGCTGGATCTGGTCGCGCTCAAACGAAGCGTTATCGCATGCAAATGGATCGTTGGGCACACCGCCGGAATGATACAAGACAGTGTAGTAGATGTGGCAATCCAGAGCATCTTGTGGATGACTGTCTGTCCTCACATCCTCGCACTGATAGATCTAGACTCTGTGATGAGTGGGGAAACTAAATTTGTTAGTGTTTATTTTTTTTATTGTTTACTTTGATTTGTTGGAGTATGTTTGGATGATATATTTTTGTTATGTTGGAGTGTATATGAGTTGATTTGTTTGTGTATTTTTGGTGTAGATGATTGTTCTGAATATGTGTAACAGGTTTTTAAATGGTGAAATAATAGAAAGAACAAGTTTTTTTTCTTCATATAACAGTTAAAAACGTATTTCTCAAATACGTTTTCAAAAACATTAAATATTAAAAAATGTATTCCTGTAATACGTTTTCTATAAAAAAAACTCGCGGCATATAGTATATAGTATATAATATAACATATAACATATAGTATATAACATCTAACATATAGTATATAACATATAGTATATTGTATATAATATATAACATATAGTATATAATATATAGTATATAGTATATAATATATTATATATAACATATATTATATAGTTATATAGTATATAGTATATAACATCTAACATATAGTATATAATATATAATATATAGTATATAACATATAACATATAATATATAGTATATAACATATAACATATAGTATATAATATATAACATATATTATATACAACGGCGGTCCTTATGAACTAATTGTTCTACACTTCTTACTTGGTGTAGCTTGTTACATGGGTCGTGAGTGGGAGCTTAGTTTCCGTCTGGGTATGCGACCTTGGATTGCTGTTGCCCTTCGGGTTCCTAACTCAACGGCAGAGTACTCGGCTTTTAAGTGCGGCTAGAATCTTTTATATATTTGGATGAAGTGAAAATTCGTCCATACCGTTGGTAACATATAGTATATAGTATATAATATATAGTACATAACATATAGTATATAGTATATAATATAACATATAACATGTAGTATATACAACATCTAACATATAGTATATAACATATAGTATATAGTATATAATATATAACATATAGTATATAACATATAACATATAGTATATAATATATAATATATAGTATATGATTTATAACATATAACATATAGTATATAATATATAACATATATGATATAATATATAACATATAACATATAGTATAGAACATATAATATATAATATATAACATATAACATATAGTATATAGTATATAATACATAGTATATATAACATATAACATACAGTTATATAATCCATATATATATATATAATAAGAATTACCATTTACCAAAAATAGTAGTAAAAAAATAGGTCATAATTTAATGCAGCCTATAAATAGTATGTTTTATTATTTTTCTTTAAAATCATACAGCATTAAATGCTACCTTAAATTTCGGACTTTAGTTCAAAAAATCCGGTTAAGATTTATTAAGTGTGTATGTTTTTATTTTTATTTTTTTCTTAGAAACAACGAACAACATTAAAATCTCAGTTCAAAATATAACAAAAGTTATAGAATCTTGGTCCTTATATTTGTGCCTTTAAAAAAAATATTTAACGCTAAAAATATTCTTTAAATCGCATAATCAATCAATTAATCTTAATTTTTTAAAAATTACTATGTATATTTTTTATTAAATTGCATAAAGTAAAAATAATTAATTCATCTTTAGATATATAATTTATAATCTTAATATACTATCATTTGGTGTAGACATTTATTATATGAATCATAAAATATTTTTATTTCATAAAATTAAATATACTTAAAGAAAATATAATTTATTTGGATCAATCAGGTGATTGAATTAGGGTACTGTCTAGGTTGATTAAATTACTTTTAGGTGAAATTTAAAATAGTAAAAAAACTTGACACAACTTGGTTGGTCCCAGATGACTAAGTTATGTATCAGTTCGACCACACCAAATCGATTACTGAACCTAAATATAAATTTTATATTGAAAATATTTTATTACGTGAATGTGATGTAGTCCAAACTTTAAATAATCGTATTAACAATACTTTTATGACAATATGTGTAATTATTATAATATTTATATATCATTTTATTAATATTTATGTGAATTAAATAATATTTATATATCATTTTATTAATATTTATGTGAATTAAATAATATTTATTAATGTACTGTAAATATAAGGTTTTCATAACTGGACCGTCATCGAAACGATCAAACTATTTTATTAAATCATTTGTGGTTTGTTCAGATTTTAATTTATAAAAATTTTAATATATATATATAGTACTTTTTGTAATAAATTTAAATAAAATGTATTCCTTAGATATCTAAACAATTTATAAATTCAAATGTTTAAACTAATTGATAAATAATTTATAATTATCTATTTTATTAAATATGTAATTTTATTTAAAATAATTTTAAATATAACAAAATTTATTTAGAAAATCGTATCGATCCTACCAGTCCAACCGACTGGTGTTGACGGATTCGAGAGAAAATATATTATTCAAGCGAACTAGACTGGTTATAATCCGGTTCTCGGTCCATCCAGTCGGACTGCGTCCAACCCAGTTTAATTTAAAAACAATAGATAAATCATGATTAATGTTATTTATATATTTAATTTATAATACAATCGTAATATTATTTTCCCGTGCATCCCACGGGTCACTCACTAGTATATAGTATGTAACCACCACCTACCATAATAATTATATTATAAAATAATATATATGAATGACTATTTTGCTCCTGATGTAATTGTATTATTATGATTGTGCCATCAAAAGTTTTCCTATAAATAAGAGTTTCAGTTATAATGAAAATACAACGAAGAGAAAACATTCTCTATATTCTCTCTATTTCTTTTTTGTTTTATAACATTATAAAACTTATTTGGTTAATTTTTTAAGGCGTTTATAAAGTGAAACAATATGCTTTTATGAGATCTTATAATCTCCTAAAACATCATATAAGTTCTTTAATACATTTGATAAGCTCATACATTTCATATTACCTCACTCCAATAAGTTGATTTTAAATGAGACATAATTAAGAACATATCCAGCTCAAAAAAACATTTCCCAAAAACAAATAATAATATATTTAACTTTATTGTGGAATAACTTGAACCAAGCTCCGCAAGTTGTGTGCCAGAAAAAAGATTGAGTGACCGAGGAACCATTCCCGACCGCGCCCTTTTCATCCTCATATCTCTTAAAAGATGTTTTTGAAGGATTCCTTTTCACCAATTTTGGGATAGGAACAAAAAGGATTGGTCCTACAACTGCGCTCCACGTGTCGGCACCAGGTGAGTTAACGACTCTTCAACATACCTGGATAATATGGAAGAATTGTGGGGACTTACGTGTCAATGAGGAAATATGACGCGGCGTTCTTGGTGAAAAAGAACGCCACCTGGATCGTGCCTCGGAACGAGGAAACACCAAACTGTGACTCAGCATTTTATTCCCCAGAATCTGCAGTAGGATAAGATTAAGACGTCACTTTACAGGGAAAATCATGCTCTTATCCATTTTGGATCAAATTGTTTGACAACGGTTAGTTTCCTGTGTTTCGCGCTTTGTGGGCAGGGAAACAAATTTATATGGGCCACAAACTATCTCACACTTTAGTTTTGATACATGGAGTAAATTTGGCCACTAAAAATGTGTTTTGTTTCGAAATTCAACTTGATTATCAAATCACGGGTAATTTTTGCTTAACATTTATGATATATAACTACAGCTAAATTCAATCAAATAACTTGTGTATGAACACATATCATCATAAACATGATAACCAAATAGGATACAGACAAGAGAGAAAAGATAAGAGTACATTGAGGCAAAGCATATCATCCATATCAAGAAAACTCTATTTTACTCTTTTTTCCTAAATAGAAGAGAAAATAAGAAAGGATAAAATATTGTATCTGGTGTTTAGATATTAATTTAGCTGTAGTTAACGAGGAATAAGTACACGAGATAGGGTACGAGCAAGTATGAAATTTTATTGAGCGATTAGAAAAGGAACTGTAAACATCCTAATTTAGCAGCAATATCAATTTTAGACTGCAAATTAGGAACCAAAAACACCAATCATTTCCAATGACGAATGAAATATTTTAAATCAAATAAAGATCACTTTCCAGCGAATGCTGAGCACTTATGAAGCTGAACACCTTCACCACCAACTTCGAATTACTCATTTAAACATAACCATTAGCCATTACCTAGCATTAGCTAATTTGTATCTTTGCATAAAGAAATGAATAATTCATTGCAATCTGAATCACGAAGTTAATGGGAAACAGAAAAGAACCAATGGAATAGAGTATTAGCTACTCACACTTCCATCATAAGACAATGAGCAAATATCCATGGTTCACGAGAACTCCAAGTAAGACCTGAACAAAAGCAAAACATGAAAGTTCAGCAACAGAGCTGCAAAGAGTCAGAAGATGCAATAGGTCAGACAATTCATTGCTTGGTAGAGAAGCCAACCATAAATTTACAGCTGAGTCAGTTCCAGCAATCTACAAAATTTTTTGCACCATTAGTTAAATATCAAATTTTACTTGGTCTTGACAGCGTTGAATCAAAAGACGACGTGCTACTTGGCTAAGTCATAAGATTATGGCTATGAGTGCTTTATAAAGTTTTGTTTTGGTAATAGCCTCAAGGGCCTCAAATGAAGAAATAAAAACTCCCCTAGGATTCTTTTAATTAAAAGTAAACAAACTCAATGATTAAAGTGCGCTCGAGTATAGAAAAACCATAACCAAATGAGATATGTTAAACCACTGCACTCATTAAATGGCCAGGATCAAAGAATTCAAGCAAAAACTTTACCAGTGTGAATGCCATACCAGTGTGAATGCCGGGAAGATCTGCAACTGGAAACTTCAACTTTCTAAGGTCCCATATGTGAACGCCCAGACTCATCTTCAGCAGTTACCTGAGAAATTTCAGCCAGCACTGATGATTTCGTACTAGAAGGGAAAGGCAACCCTTCGGGATGACGGCAATCTTCAAGTAATGACACAACTGCTGCTAACTTAGACACTCAAAAGTAGCTAGGAATAAGGTAGAATGAAAAGGTGTGCAAGTGATATCCATTTTGAAGAACACAATCTGGTTCGAGAACTTATAAATGACTTAAAGAGGCAGAGTACAGTAACTTGCTGCTCCTAATTAGGTCCTACAAGTTGATTGCATTTACTTAACACCTATTTTAATTCAAGAGTTCCTTCAAGGCTAGTATAAATGGTATTGAATTAATGACACTCCTACAATACTGAGTATTAATGAAGAATGAGACTTGGGTTGCAACGATCAGATGAAAAAGCAATTTTCGTGTGCCTTACTATCCATTTAGGCAGCAGAAACCAGCCCAGTTAGAAGCTCTCGATCATCATGCTTCTAATTCATTGTAAGAGCGTAAGATCTTTTGGCTTCAATTATGCCTTGACCTTATGTGGGCAATTTCTCATCCACTCGGCTTGCATTACTAAATGACACTTGGCCGGGTTTTCCGAATCCTTAGAAACAGTAATGTAATTTGTTATAAAAACACTAAACCAAATCAAAGTATCAATGAAGAATTCCCAGAATGCAGATCACTGTAACTTAATCGTGGCCTGTTAAACTAACTGAACCTGATGCGTGATAATCCACATACATTTCCTATTTTTTTACATTTTGACAGAAAACTACTCCTTTCAACATTAATCTGACCTTGTTGTATTACCTGCCATTAGACGAATTTACGTAACCTTAAAGCATTTAGAAAAGAATGCCAAACAAACCACATTAGTTTGTTATTCAATGCCTTACTCAAAGGCACAGAAAGGATTGACAGGATGGATTTAGAGAAAGCTGCCACATGAGTTTGACTCGGTTCATAAACTGGAAACTTTTCTATATTGCAGAAGTGAAGAGAGCAGAAGATCAGAAAAATGGCTCCATAAGGATAGCTTTGTATCTTTACTTCTTTTTTTGTCTTCCTTCTTTTCCAGTTTTCCTATCTCGAATAGGCCTCTATTTAGGGATATTGGTATTTACTCATTCCATCCTTTCCCTCCCCATCCCAATGCGCAAAAATAAAGCAAGAGAGCAAGAACATGTGTTTGAATATGGTGAGTGACCAAGTAGCTTCTGTAGAATCTATAGATTTTTATCATCTATATTCAAGGGTCTACTCTTTAAATATAAACTTTATGGGAAGGTGTGCTAGGCAAGAGCACACGATAGAATTGCTAAAAGTGGTTGAGGTAGATGATGGACAACATAAGGGTACCTAACAGCTCTGCAATAATTATCAGGTCTAGAATTTATATAGGAAGCTAGAATGAAATGACTAATACTTTTTCCGCGAGGATGGAAACTGAAAGATCAGTTCACAGGCTAAAAGTAGTAAAACATACTGAAACATATATCATGTAGCAGCATACTTACAAGCATGTACCTTTTTTTGTGTCATGGTCGACACGGGCATAGGCACGCTCAACTGAATTAGTCTTCCTGAAATCACATAAATGGACTCTCATATTGGCGTTCGAACAAAAAACAGAAAAAATAATAAGCAGAACCAATCAAGTCATCTCAGGAGCAAAATCAGAGAGAAACATATTTTACTCAAAACTGCAAGCCTTCTAATCAAATCACTGATCAAAGGTCTAGGAAGCCAAATGCTACCAAAAGAGCCAGTACGCAATGACATGGATTTATAAATTTACGTAAGAATAAAAGGCACATTGAAAGCAAAGCAGAAAGAAGCACAGTTGCAACCATTGTAACAGGGATAAAGAGCAGCAAAACTCCATGAGGAACCTTTATTATTTAGGTTAATGCTTGTAACACGACCATGATAGTGAAAAGCTATAAAATTCTCTTGACTTCTAAAATAAAAATAGGCCTTTAAGTAATTTATTACCCAACGATTACAGATATGAGGGATTAATTTAACATACTTCATTGTCCTCAAATCCCAAAGTTGAACTGATGAATCACATGTCAAAGAAACATAATTGAAGTCATGAGGATCCCACGCTCCTCAACTTAAATTGTGACGCATGCCGGCTGATTCTTTTGATTGTACCTAGAAATCACATAGCAAGGTCTGACTAAACACTGGACCAAGAAGTGAGGAACTACAAGGTTATTATATCAGTTGAGATCTCTCTGGACAAAATTGTATCACATGTAAATGCCATGGAAGGTGCAATGTGGGGATCATATAGAGTTGAAAAGAAAAAAGCTGCCCACATGATACGGACTACTTAGCTCTAATAACTAGGCAAGGTAAAATGAATAATAACTAGTGGTTGCTGATTTGTCCAGCTAAATTCATCTATGCTCTTAGCTAATTCGACAAGATTATTCTAGGTATGGAAATAGAAGTGTAAAGTATAACTGGTGCCAGAAGAATTAAAAAAAAAAATGATATTGGTGGTTAGAGTTGAGCACATAGCTCCGAAAACTAACTTATGTCTCCAAAGTTTTGAGATAGAATAATAAATCAACTTTCAAAGTCACAAGCTATTATGTTGGATAATGACCGAAAGAGTGAGCATCACAGAATCTTTTACTACAAAAATACAGATAGCTAAGATATGTAGGTATACAGAATGTTAGTATGTCTAGCTGTGCTGTAGTTATATCTGAAGCAAATCTGAGATTTGAGAAAGTCTACACCTGAGCAGTTTTTTTTTTTTTTTGAAGTATCTAAGCTCCAGAGGAAGAGATTTTGCTCATCGATACTGACAAGCTTGTCATGCCTTCCTGTTGGCCACCAGCACACTACATTCGAAGAAAATGCAGTATCATTTAGTGTACAAGCACCTAGTAATGTTGGAAATGGAATGTCCAAAATTTTTATTTTACCCAAAGAACAGCATGAATCTGGAATAATGGAGAGGGAAACTACTGAGTTTCATGACTCTTAGTTATTCGAGTCAGTTTCACAGGAAACATCCAATACAACACTAATCGGGTCTAAAAACTAAAAAAGTACTGAATGATTCAATAATAGGTTCCCGTTTTTATTTATTCATCCACTTTCTCTATTATGAGAGGAAGTTGTAGATTAATGAACCACCATTTATTAGGGTGAAAAATTAACCCCGAACGAAATATATCTACACCATAGATTCCTAAGGAGTAACGGAAAACACTAAACAAGCGACTTCAACTTCTAGGTAGCAAAATGAGTATTATTTGCATCTATAAATTCTTTTAACATTTGCAAACACCCCTTATATTAAGAGTGAAGGCTGCTTTTTTAGGTGTTGCTGTAACAATACTGCAAATTTATGTTCGTGTATGTTTGGTTTAATCATATGTGTTCCGAGAGAGCATGCATAGCAGATATGCAATGGAGAATGTATGTACAAGGAAAAGTGAACTAGTTCTGTCTTTACCCTGAGAATGAAAAGCAGGAAAAAACATAATAACATAGCCAATTGTTTCTGTAAATGAACATTGGGGGGACCCTAAAGCATAACTATCACGACACACAAATCTTGATTTGTACAGAACTTGATGAATGTAAAGTTATGATGATTAGTTATAACTTTGACACAGCAAACGTTCAGAAAGAAAAAAGAAAAGGATAATAATAATAATAATAATAATAATAATAATAATAATATCATGTCTACTACTACTACTAACATTACTNAAAAACTTCAACTAGAAATTAAACATTACTCTGGAAGTACGAAATGATTTCCTTCACGTTCACGGCCCGCTCTCTACATCAAAAGGCACCTTCCCAACCAAATCCTTTGTTTCCTTGACTTCCGTCGCCGCACTCTCAATAGCTTCTGCCACAGCCTTCACCATCTCCACCAGCGTTTCAATACCCTCTTTCCCCGCAGCCTCAACCAATGCTCTCTGCGCCTTTTCAGCAGCAAGGTTCACAAGTCCCACTGCCCTCTGTGCAGCTAGGGCTGCTCTTTCATTTTTGGCCCACTTTTGTGCTTCACCCTTCTCTTTCACTCTGGTACGGTCCACATGAGCGTCGCTAACATGTTTTAATCCCACCATTGCCAAACAAAAACTTGCTGCTATTGCTAACGCCAAGTATTTGTTCATTTTATGATCACATAATACCTTATCAAAACCACCAATGAACAATTAGGCTAAACTGTCAAACATACGTTGTTGTAAATAATCAACAAGTTGGACACACTGATGGCATGAAGAGTAGCCGCAAAGATGATTGAGATTGACCAACCGTCTACCAGGACGGTACTGACCCAAACACCGCCAGATCTGAAAACCGTCTCTAGATCTGGACGGATTCCAGAAACGGCTGAGGAACCATAGAGAAAACAAGTTACTGGAGGGGGTTCGATGTTGAACGACATTCTCATATGCGTTTTCTCTATGGTTCCTCAGCCGTTTCTGAAATCCGTCCAGAAAAGAAATACCCGCCATCCAGAAAAGAAATACCCCGCCTATGGCGGGTATTTTTAGAGACGGTTTTCAGATCTGGCGGTGTTTGGGTCAGTACCGTCCTGGTAGACGGTTGGTCAATCTCAATCATCTTTGCGGCATCAGTGTGTCCAACTTGTTGATTATTTACAACAACATTGATATGTTTGACAGTTTAGCCTCATTGTTCATTGGTGGTTTTTATAAGGTATTATGTGATCATAAAATAAACAAATACTTGGCGTTAGCAATAACAGCAAGTTTTTGTTTGGCAATGGTGGGATTAAAACATGTTAGCGAGGCTACTCTTCATGCCATCAGTGTGTCGAGCATGGCATAAAACAAGTTACTGGAGGGAGGTTCGATGTTGAACCGGCTTTTGGCAATGGCATTCGTTGATCCACAAAAGGTAGCATCAAAATAAATCAGCGTAACAAATGCCACGCCAAGCCATTGGGGCAATGCCCAGTGCACAGGGAGAATTTTTTGCCATTGGAAAGTGAGAAGACGGGTGAAAATAGGGCGTGGAGAAAGAGCAGGTTGTTGGTCCATTGGGAGAGAAAAGCTGTAAGAGTGATTTGATGGAGAGGAAGGTAGAGTGCGGCAGTAATATACAGTGCCTCCGGTTTATAGCACTTTTTTAAAGGAAAAATGAAATATGGCCATGTTTTGTAAAACAATGAAATATAGCCATTTTAGGGGTTAAAAGTACACTTCTACCCTTATTAATGTTTACCTATCAAAAAAAAAAAAAGAAAAAAGAAAA